TCCTAGAACAATTTTACACCTATTCCGAGTGAACCCGAATTAACGCAGGGGGTGGTTACCTGTTCCAAATGTGCACCACGGTAATGCAAAGCAAAACGGAAAATGAAATAGTAACTGAAGAAAGAAGATGCGGGAAGGATTTGAAGTGGGGAGTCCCTAGAGCAACACGCATTTTCTTTTTGCGCGTTCTGCCGATCCCAAGGCAGCAAGTATGGCTTCGTCGAACACATTTATTAGCCCTTTCCGAGTGAGGAAAGAGCATTCCACATATTTAACGGCTTTCAGCTCCTTCGCCAACTACTCTGCTCCAGGAAGCGTTGACGTTAGTTCGAGGGCCAACCACCAGGGCATAGACCGCCATTGCGGTTACCCTGCTTTCGCGCAGTGTCCAGTCTTCTTAGTATAAGGTCTTTGGTCGCTCCCTCCGGATTGGGTGCAAGGAGAAGCGTTGCCCTCGGGGGACCGGGGCCTCGCCAATGACGTCTTTTCGTCCTGAGCTTCTGCACCGTGACTCACCGGTCCCGCCTTGGAATCTCGAATCGGCGCTTCAAATCGCGGGAAACTTTTAACCCTTCATAATTTGTGAGTTGGAGGAATTCTGGAAGCGCAGTGTCACTCTGGACACCTCGCGCCGACTATCCACAAACACCGACGCCGTTTTGGGGGCCTTTCGGATCTACGTTGGATTCAACCCGTTCGATCCTCGTTTGCAAGCTTCTGCCTGTCATCGTAAGTAATAGGAGAACCTACGCCTGAAACCTTGGGGAGAAAGAAGATGAAATTGGTAAATATTTAATCCCTCACAAAATATTGACTCTGCCACGAAGAAGTTATGATATTCATCTTCACATTTTATTATTTGGTCACTCAATGAACTTACATCAACTGTATGAAACGGAGGGAGCATCCCACGCCGAAGCTTTTGGTGTCATGAGTTTTAGTCGCTTTGCTGACTCAGGCACGCTTCTGAATCTTACTTTGGCGTAACGTGAGGACCTCTGAGGTCCTCGGTGCGGAGCCACTCCCCGAGGGTGACCTCGCTCCTGCCGCCCGGTCCGAAGAAAGCGACTCGACGCGGCGACGGGGGCGGAGGGACCCGAGGGCGACGTGCCACTGGGTGGCCCGGGGGGAAGGGAGACGCGGAGGATGCGACGTTCACGGTGACATCTGCTGGAGGAGGGGATAAGCTCGGATTTTCCCTCCATTCGTGCGCTATTTGCCTTCCCCAAAACGAGATTCGGTTCTTGGCGTCGCAGATTCGGAACTCTCATGAGACTGACTGAAAACTCCTCCAAAAAAGAAATACTGAGCCCGAAAGCGACTCGAGCATTCCGCGCTGTGGCTTGGTCGTAAGTGTTTGGTCATGAAAATTCATCGAGTGACCAAATAATAAAAGCTGGCGATGATTCATTACATCTTCCTGAGAGAGTCAATATGATTTGATAATTAATTAAATATTTACCAAATCCAATTCCTTCCTCCTCCAAGGCTTCAGACATAGGTTCTCGTATTTTTAACGCGGAGAGGCAGAAGCTAGCAAACGAAGATCGAACGGGTTGAATCCAACGTCGATTTTAAAGGCCCCCGAGCCCTCGATCCGTGGACCGGAGGGAAAGATTTCTCTGAGAGTGCTCTCGAAAGCGAAGGAGAATTTCTCGTCGCTGGTTGTGGATCGTCGGCGCGAGGTGTCCGGAGTGACACTGCGCTTCCAAGTCGCTGTGAAATTAACATTCCTATTCCGGCGAATAAAATCGCCGATTCCATAGTCCAAGGCGGGACCGGTGAGACTCGGCGCAGACACTCAGGAGGAACAGACGTCATTCGTGAGGCCCCGGTCCTTCGAGGGCAACGTCGCTCGGGGCGCCCAATCCGGAGGGAGCGACTCCACGCGGCGGTCGGCGCAGGGCGACTGCCGGACGACGTGTCTCTGCTTTGCCATCGGGGGAAGGGAGACGCCGGAGCACGCTTCGGTGTGGGTGACATCTGTTGGTCGAGGAATGAAGGTCAAGTTCATCCTCTTTTGATCCCGAGTCTTCAAAAATGCTATGCGTGAAAGTGACTTTCGCCACTCATCGTTGTCGTTCCACCAACTCTTCGCATTTCTGCAAGTTGCCTGAGCAACCCGTAGAACAACCTTAAGCAGAAACTGGCATGGAATGGAATTCACTGCCCCATCCCGACGGATTGACTGAAACCACGGGACAAGCTTATATGATTCGGGTGGGAGATGAGTCTGAACCGACAGGGAGACATTTCGACGGTGCTTGCGGATCGTCGGAGCAGAGCATCACGGAGAGACAGCACGAAACGGTCACTTTCGGCGAGGGAGGGGGAAAATCCGCGGCGTTCCTATCGCAGAGATTCTGTCGGCGGTTGGCATATGACGCGTGGGGATGAGTGTTCTGGGTAGTCCGGAATATCGAGAGAGACAATCGCAAGGACGCCTGCGGAACCCTCAGCCGAGCGCATAGTGAGCGAACCCTCGCTCTCATCATTCTGGCGGAAAACCATTGGTCCCTCATGCGATAGAAATGTCTTTCATACAAGAGGTTTTCCTCATTCCCGATGAGCGAGAAACCCAAATGCTTGATGTCGACCCACTCCCCCCCCCCCCAAAAAATAGTGTGCTTAAGATCTGCAATCCAATGATAGCAAAAGCATATCATAGCATAGCTGTCCTGATTTCTTTTTATTCGTCACGAACCGTCGTACTGCAGCTGCTTTATCTTTCTTCGGAACGTCTTTGCAGAGTTCACGCTTGGTCTGACACCACATTAGCAGTTTGCGCTAGAACGTGTGACTGATTCGTGTCGCTGGTAAAATTTGAGCAAATCCAGGCAGTGTTTTTGGATGATGCCATTATTTATGTATTAGACCGTTGGGCCCAAGTGAAGCGCTGGCAGAGCCACGCTAGGAGGCATATGCGGGGTTGTCTCAGCTCATAGATGAACTTCTTCAAAGTACGAGAGATTAAGACATGAATAAATGAACAAATAAGCAGCGGCCTAAAAAATTCATAAGATAAACAGCATCGATCAAGTTCGAGGGGGAAAATAAATGTATCTTATGAATTTTAAATACATCTCGCGCGTTTATACGTGATACTAGATTCACTGGACTCAAAGAATTTCTCCAAAGAATGAATAAGAAGGAGTTTTTTTTTCTCGTCCCGCAATGCAGAAAACCTAGGGCTAGGTTCCAGCATGAAATGAAGTGAGGTGCAGTTATGATATTTTTCTTGCATTATGTCAAAAGAACCTCCAAAGATGAATTGTAGAATTTCAAAGCTCAGGTGGTATGTTACGAGTAAGTTCGAATAACGCCGAAGTCAATCACTGTTGCCGGAGAGAAAATTCAACCCACGCAATTGCTTTTCCAACCGCGTTGCACACGCGGTTGGGAAAGCAATTGCGGTCACCCCGATCAACTCATGCCAGTGACATGTGCCAAGGATTCCCTCTTGAGAGATGAGGAAAATGTGGCATTGGAATGTATGGTTTTCCAGGGCAAAGGTCATTAACGTCAAGACCGTCATGACTAGCGATTTCATTATGATTCATGGGATCAACATGAACAACAAGGTGACACGCTTCAGAGATTAATCGAAAATATGACACCCCAGGCAAATAATGAAGCTATTTTGTTACTCCATATTTTACTTCCCTTTGAACCACATCACACCTCCAATGAAAAGGATCGAAATTAGAACGTGTCTTATATCAGGAACTGCGTACTTTTGAAATGTGAGGTAGGGAGTTAGCAGGAGCTCAAAGATTCTTCATTTTTCCAAAGTGATGAGCTAAGGAGAGTTTTCTTGCAAGGCCAACCCACTCAGGTGCACTCAATCCCAAAAAAAGCCATTAAACGAATGTTTGACTTGGTCTCTGTAGAAGTGATCGATGTTCGTCAGCCTGTGCCACGTATACAACCTAGCTCATTCCGTTCCTTCCCTTGGAATATATGCCATGACCATGGAACTTCTCTCCTCCCGTGGAGCGAAGGCGGTGGTCATCATCTCTTTCTTCTATTCCTGCTTACACGATGTGATCTCCACTGGTGTTATTGTCCATCATCATGTACATCCAGGGAAGAAATACGACAATTTCACCTTTGAAACAAAAGAAACTAAATTCGGAGCTTGCACCAAAAGATGCCGTCTTCAGAAACCCCCCTGCTATGCCTTCAACTATCATGAATCCGATGGTTCGTGCCAATTGGTTTTCAATGGGAAAAGTGGCCTCGTGGAAGCGGACGGATTTACTTCCTATGTTCAGAGTGAGTCATCGACCCTGAAATACATTTAAGAATTTGGTTAATGAGATAAATTCCGTCTGTTCCACACACAGGACTGTGCCTGACGGAACATCCAAAGATTCAGAACGCTTCCATATCCTTTGAGGATTGGAGCGGAGAATACCCAGCTCCACCGGGTGGAAGGGCGATTCTCCATTGTCAGCATCCCAAAGGATTCTCCGATGGTTCTCAATTCCACACGGCTGAATGCTCTTCTGTATTTCCTGATACTTGGTGCAGCTCCTTCAAGGAAGGCACCGTTACCTGTAAGAACGTCGAACTCGATCAAACATGTACTCTCAATTGTTAAGAATGTTAGTCCCAAAGAAAACAGTTGAGTACATAGATCGTCAAAAATTATTCGTCTATGGACACAGCGGTATTAGGGCACTTAATCTTCTCAATGATGGTTCAAATATCATCGAAAGCAACAGACGGGAAAACAGAAAAGGGCTGATTGCACCCTTGATAAAATTTGGGGTGCGTCCTCACATTTCATAAATATGAAGGGAGTTCGACGTTCTCTTCGATTGACTTAGATATAGCGTTCCCAGTACAAAGAATCAGGTCCTTCTGGATTGTTTTTGAGATACTCCTGAAAACGGTATTCCCCCTCTCTGAAGATGTTTTCTCAATGATTAATACTACTTTTTCATTAAGTGGGTATCCTTCTTCGCCTAAAAGAAATGTATAAGCATTAAGCAATAATGGCAGTTAATATCAAAAACAATATCACACAACATTAAATGTACAAATAAGAGAGAGAATAGCTGGAAATCCCATCAGAAACGAATTCCCGGGAAACCCTTGATAATGTCGGAAGAAATCACAAAGTTAACATTGATTCACGCTTCTCCCAAGTTCATTTTCACAGCATTAGGATGACTCATAAAAGGAACTTACTATTGCGCTTGGCACAAAATCCTAACTTAATTTAACGTGGATGAAAATGAAATTGCGTGCCACATGTTTGCATTGATTGTTACTCTCTCACAATCGCTTATAATTTTTAGGTGAGCCGTTGCATAAATATCCAGATTGCCGGTTGACAAAGAAGGGAAGAGAATACGTTGGGAAAGTAAGTAAAACGGAATCAGGAAAGGAGTGTCTAAGATGGGACACTCAGCCCTACGGAACACCAAATGATTTTCTCACAAACGTCACCTTTTCTGATGCCTCTCTCAAAAACGTCACGTATTCTGACCACTTCTCCAACCTTGATACCTGGTCTCACAAGAACTACTGCCGCAACCCAACCGGAAGGGAGAGGCCATGGTGTTTCGTCATGGACAATCATGTTCAATGGGAATATTGTGATATCCCCATCTGCACAGATAATGGTAATTATTCTATTGTAATCGTCCTCTTTCACAAGCCTCCATCACTTGCTGATTGTAATTGATAGACGTTACAATATTTCGGGATTTATTTCTGAACCTAAACCGCATCATTGTAATTAATATCCTCCTTTCATTCGCCTAATACTGCTTCGAAGAGTTTCCCCCTTGAGTTTTGCTTAATAGACAATATGCCCTCTTAAAAATCGAAACCAAAGCAAAGCACAGGGCCATCAACCATGCTCTTCCCACTTTAGCTCGCCGTATGCAGGTAAGACGAAGAGAAGTTGAGTTGGATGAAATCTTCATGTATTGGATCATGAATTCGGTGAAATTCAGAGCATTTTCGCAATTTGGAGCATTTTGAGGGCATTCATTCCATGCTCAGGACACATACCACTAAGCCTATAAAATATAGCCTATTTTTGCGACTATTTGTTGGTGAAGAAAAATTTGATAGGCAGAATCGAAATACCTGAACAAAATGTACTGTACTTAACTTGAAAATCAAGATTTTCTGGCCACCAATTCATCTCGAGTACAAGTGTTTCACGTTCATTTCTATTCACGAAGTTGCCAATAATAAGCGTCAGTCGCCCAATCACTCGCGAACTTCAGCATAAGGAATCATTATGGAGTCTTGTTATTTTTCCAATAATAAGTTTACTTATGAGTACATGCTTATTTTACAAAGAAATCTTATTTGTTCAATGTGTGACGTTATTACTACACTTTCATGTTTCCACCCCAACCCCACAGAATATCTCCTAATGGACGATTGTATTTCACAGCCTTTCATTCTCATATCTGGATGATGATCACTTTGTGCGGAGAAGTAATTGCCAATAACCGATATCAATTGTTTCATGAACAGACCCTCCAGAGTGCAAGATAACTCAACAGGCCGGTGAATACATTGGAAGGAAGAACGTGAGCCATTCAGGTTTCGCATGCAAACCTTGGGAGGGAAATTGGAGAACCACAATCCCTGGAATGGGGGCACTCTTCATGCCGGCATTTCCAGATTACAAAGAGACTAAGGATACTCACAACCTCTGTCGCAACCCAAATGGCGACGGCGCTCCTTGGTGTTTTGTTGAAAATAGAACTTTTAAAAAGGAATACTGTGACATTTCCTTCTGCGAGATCCGAGAAATTAAAATTGGATCCAAGGGGAACGTGTATCCTGAATGCAGACTGACAGAGAAAGGAAAGGAATATGTCGGGACGAAGGATGTGACTGTGACTGGAAAGCCTTGTCTCCGTTGGGAAACTAAGCCGTATGGCATGCCATGGGATTTCTTCAACCAAGAAATGGGATATTCGGATCACTTCATCAATGTGGACGCAGTAATCCATAAGAATTACTGCCGGAACCCTGCTTTGTACAGGGAAAAGCCATGGTGCTTCGTCTCTGACCCTGACATCAAGTGGGAATACTGCGACATTCCCTTCTGTCATAACCTCGGTGCGTCCCTTCATTCAATATTCGTGAAATATATTACTTCACAACTTGAATGAAGTTTCATTCTCTTTTTAGAGCCGCCCGAATGCAAGCTGACGCCGAGCGGGGGTGAATATGTCGGAAGACTGAACACGACCATTTCGGGATTTCCGTGCCAACATTGGCTGGCACAATTTCCAAATGATCACGATTCTGTTCGGAAATCACTATCGGCATTTCCTGATGAAGTTGATGGGAGCCACAACTTTTGCCGCAACCCTGATGCCAAAGGCCATGGTCCATGGTGTTTTATTAGGAAATCGTATGACAGGGAAGTGTGGGAATATTGCGATGTTCCCTTTTGTCCTAGGACAGAAGGAGAACGATGCGATATTCGCGTATCAGGAAATTGCATGAGTGGGTCTTTTTTATTTTGATAAATCATACATAATTTCAAAATATTAGTTTGAATGTGACTGGAAAATTTTAAATGCTAGAATATATTAGGGAACATCTGAATGGCTTGCATATGTTTCCTTCCATAATACCGATGATCAAGTGAAGGGTAATGTATAACCGGTGATGAAATCAAAGGAGTAAGACCAGTTTCGGACCTAAACCAGTTTTCTAAGATACGTGGATATTTCAAGAGGGTGTCCTTTGTCAAACATATAGATCCGTTGCATTTTTCAAATCTGAGCAATTAAAAAAAAGTTAGATTAGGTTTAGGTTAAGGTGAGGTTAGGTTAAGTTAGTTTTAGGTTTAGGTTAGGTAAACCAATTGTCGGCCTTAAACCAATTTTGATAAAATTAATAATCATGTAATCGGTTTTACACGTGAACATGGTATATATTATTTTCATCCACATAAATTCAAAAAGGTAGATAAGGTCAGGTTAGGTTATGTTAAATTATTTTACTGTTTTCAAAGGGGACTTCCAATAAATGAATTCCGCATAGCCAAAAAAATAGGACATAATTTTGGAAGTAATTAGTGAACTCTACCTTGGAGTTGGAAAATCTAGCAAAGAATTTTGCATGTGTGACTCATAATCTAAAAGTTAATGATGCAAAGTAACTTTGCAAGATTTAAAAAAGTAAAATTCAATTGTATTTTGATTATGATTTTTTTTGGTAGTCTGTATTTCCCTTCCCTCAAAACTGCTTGAAGTATGTGTTCTGATGAAAAGCTCATGCAAAATAACTTCATTGTAACCAAACCTAACCTAACTTTCTAAAACCCATAAGATTAGCGTAAAAGTGATATTTTATTACTCTAGGAATGACAACCTTTCACGTGATTTATTATTCATTGCATTGAGTTAAAGGACCAAAATAACATTATGTATTACAGTCGCTTGCAAACGCAAAATAGAAGCAGGAGACATTATTGCCGTCTTAGAACGTATTTTTTCTTCAAGAAATGATGAAAAGAAGCGAAAAAGTCTCGAGAGCGAAAGGTTCACTTCATGTCTCCAAATTTTGCAAATAGGATGAGGCGATATCTCCTGCTTTCGGAAGGTCTGATACCGAAAGCTTGAGAAATGGGAAGTGCCGAAAGGGAAGATTCAGGGACAATACACTGTTAGCAAAAATGGTTCAGCTTTTATCTCCTATGGGATGTTTCAACTGCAACTCGTATTTATCCTTTGTGGGTTACAAATTTAGCCTATTTGATCAATTAAATTAAATATTCTTTTTAGCCGTTGTGGATAAATAGATCACCTTTGTAGTGTACTTGTAATCACGAAGATGGGATGCTTTCCTCTAACCCAAATGAGTGCCCCAGACGTCATTCGCCAATTACATCATCCAGTCGTTAGGACGAATACGTTCGGGTATGATTTGAGCACATATGGTTATTGAGTTCAAATGTTCCATGGAGATGAAGCAAATATATACGGGCTACTGTTTGTTAAGGCAAGATCCTTTTTGATCAAAGTTCCGGGATTCTGTCTCGAATATGAGAATAATAAATGAAGAAATCTCCGCGTTTATTATTACCGATAATGAGGCAAGGCGAAACGCAGGACGAGGTGACATAACATTACTTTGAGAAAGATTCCTGGGAAAGAGGAAAGTACTATTCTATAGTATAGTATAGGGAAACAGTGGCTCCATAAGTCCATCTAGTAGTCTAAAAGGGAACTATACATCGCACAAATAACCCTTGCAAATGGTCTTTCACCGTCATCTATAAAGTTTCTTATGTTTGACTTGAAAAGGGTAAAACCCGAACTCTGGTCGGTAACATCCGATTTCTATAAGAACAATCTCTTTGGGAATGAATATGCCGCCTCAAGAAGAATATATTTATTCATTTTCTTGATGGTCTATTTGAAAATATTTCTGAGATAATGGATAATTATTCTTGCAGGGTTGCAGAGGTCCTTAATTAATTCATTCGAGGGTTTTACAAAAGTAAGAAACTGGCTTATCTTGAAATGAAAAATATTACCCTTGTTCTTTTGAGCTGGAGGAATATCTTCTTCCTCGAAAGACCATTTCCCCTTTCATCGTTTCACGTATTTAACCGCATATTTATACATCTATTCACAAGATTCATAAAAGTCTCCTAGTTAAAAATTTAACCCTTTCGCTCGAAAAGGATATAAAGAATTCATCGCATTTAAAATGAGCATCCAATTAACCCTTTTAAATGGTTATTCACAGTTATCTAACCGTTTTTTAACGGTTTATCCTCCACCTAGATTAAACTCTGAACCCTTCCTGCTAACAGTGTAGGTCTGGAGGCGAACCCATTGTCTGAAGGAATTAAAATCGTTTCGTTTAGGCCAATCGGGAAACTAAATTTAAAAACATAATAATACGAGCACTACCGACACCTTTAATTAAATTAATATTGAATAAGACATTCATAGAAATGATAGTTTCAGGAAATATAAGAATGAACATATCCCACTCCAGAAATTCACGACTCGACGAATGCAATATTGCAAAAATAAAGTGATAGAGAAGGAGAAAAAGCGGGCAATTCGAAAAGAAGCCTCGAACAGACGGAGCTCAACATGTTGAAGTGACAGAGTGGAGATTGCCAGAACTGCTCTTGTGGCGGCATTTTATTTTATGACAATCACAGCTCGGGTTCGACTTGGCCCGAGTAAGCGTGATTCTCTTTAGGCGCGTTCTACACTTAGCAGTCAAAGCGCTCTACTCCGTTCGAGAGGCAAGCAAAAAAATAATTTTCCGAGTTTCGGTCACATATTTTTTCTTGGCATCCTGGGTTTCACCCAGTAGTGTAGCGAGAGTTTCATTTTTCGGATGGCGAATGAAATCTTACGAGGAACTAAAAAAATTTTAAGTAATCTGGGAGAAAGGGGGGTGGGAGCCAGGACAGCAACCACGTCAATTTAAATCCCTGACCCTGCAGCATTAACCACTAGCCGCCACTGCATCCCGCCTTTGTTTCTTCTTAAACTAGGTCCATTGGAGTGCAAAAAAGACGTACGAGGATCCATGTATATGGGGACGAAGAACGTTACCAAGTCAGGTTACCCCTGCCAGCTATGGATGAGCGTTTCACCAAATGATATCTCAAAACTTGATGATATTTCATATATACTGTTGGAATCATTCCCAGACGACTTGCATCCTTCTCACAACTTTTGTCGCAATCCTGATGTCGATTCAAACGGGCCTTGGTGCTGGAATGGAGCTGGAACTGATCCCGAATGGGAAGAATGTGATATCAAGTTATGCTGAAAAGTTTTATGCTCTCAGCAAAATGAAAGTATTTCATCCAATGGAGGTAGCTATTTTATGCCATTTGATGCCAGTCTGAATGCAAATAATGATCTGGTGTCTTTCCCTGCCCATAGAACACACGTTGTTCATCTACGCTTCCCCTCATTGCCACGTGCATTATGACAGGCACATTTGTGAATGGGAATTTGTGCTTTCAACAGGTCCTTTTCTCATATTCCTATTGGAAGATCCGAGTGAGACCCTGATGTTGAAGTTTTGTGCTTGGCTTTTTGTTGGATGGTCGTTTTCATCAATGAGCGTGAAGGGCAGTAGATCTTTCACCTGCACATACACTCAAAGTCGATAGCAACGGAATGGTTGAGGCGGATGAAGCGAACGAGGTGGTCAGAAGTGCTCCAATGAGACATGTGTGTGTGTGGTGGTTCCCTTTTTCATTTGCTTGTCTGATACTTTGGACCTCATGCAGTTGGATGATGCCTCTGATCGGAGGGGCTTTTTCGTAGACATACCACAGTATCAAAACCTCCTGTAGAACTTTTAGTTATCATTATTGTTTGGTCATGTATGAACAGGAATTAGTGAACACGATGCGTACTCATTCGTCCCACCTTTAATCGTTGAGTAGTACTCGTATACCCTCGCATGTCTCGGATGTATAAGCGTTACCGTCCGACCGCATTGAAGGATGGCTCTGTGCATTGTGGAAAGACTTTTTGGTGGTGTTTCGTATTACCTTATTCGTATTTCATTGTCATTTTCCTTTTTCCGTTTTACCTTCTCTGTAACCTCAGCTAGAATCGATGTTTGTAATTGTCAGGCTGTCTAAGGTTCGACCATGCCAATTGTATATTCGTGCCTTGCTAATGAAGTCATGCATTCAGGTCAAAGCTATAGTATATCATGGTGGACAATACTTGCATGCTCTCCTACCCATATAACATTGACACACTTCCCTTTTGCTTGTACGTGTTCGCCCAATGATTTCCGGGAATTAGGAGTGATTTCAGTAGTTTAATTTCTTTTGTTGGAGTTTCCAGCAGTAGTTGGTAAACCCCCTTTGGTTGGCCTGCTTCGAATTTCTGAGTTTTTTGTAATCCTTTGTCTTTAGCTAAAATTTAAATGATTGCATGAAAAGAAATTTTCCATCTAGTGAATTATTTGTAAAAATTATGTATTGTTTTTATGTCGATATCCAGTGAGGGCTTGAGAGGGATCTTGTGATGCTTATCTTCTTATGAATGCAATTCCTTACTTGATGGAAGCATGATATAAGATTTTCTTTTTCTGGTGGTCTTTTTTATGAAATGCTGCAGTCTTTTCTAGCGTAATAGTTTTCCTTTCCACTTGAACCTTTCTTCTTCTTCCTATCGTGGAGTCCATTCATGAACATAATTGCTGTTTTGCATTTGTTAATTTATATACTCCATATTAGGCATTATCTGTGGATGTTTTCTCGGTCTTTTCTCACTCTGTTCTTGATTTCGGTTTGGTAACTATACCATAGAGCTATGTCAGAAGCGTATTGGGACATAGAGCACTTGTAGAGGTTTCCTGGGATATCATTCATGTATATGTTGTATATCACTTTCATTAGGTAGACAACATCTCATTGTGACACTCCTGCTTTTGGCCTAAAAGGTTTTGATGTTGTACTATTTACTAAGACTGCATCTTCGGTCGTTTAGGAAGCTGGGTACCCACCGGATAATTATTAGTGGTGCATTGAGTCTCCAGAACATGTTATCAACATAGAACATGTTGATAACATGTTCTATGTTGATACATTTGATAACATGTTTCCATTCATAGCAAAAACAGCCAATGGAGAAGAAACCTCTTGAGGTATGAGGTCACGTCACAGGTAGGAGAGAGGAAAGATGTGTCATCCTTCCCACAAGCTTCTAATCCAGAATATGTGGAAGCAGCCTGGTATCAATGATGGGAGCATCAGGGGTTCTTCAAATCTGAATACAATATATGTGAATTATGACATTTGAAGTCATATCTAATGTTTTTGTTAGCAATGAAGCTCCAAGCATGCAAATTTTCCCCCAGTAAATATTGGACGATATTTATGGGTGACGGATGTAGAAGTCAACCACTGATATTGGCAGGCAAGTTGGTCTTCAACAAATTGCAGTTTGTTTTATTCCCTTTTCCTGTGACAATGAATAACAGTCAGTATGAGTTTCCTCTGCTCAGTACATATCCCACTGATTGCAATGACCCCACAAATTTTGAGTAACTTCTGTAAAAATTAGTATGCAGATTGCAAATCATCCCAAGTAGCCATTTCGATCCAAAATACATCCATTGGACATACCCTCATGGACACTTTGATATCCCATGTATATCCTCCTCGGACGTCCCCTGGATGACTAAATGTCTCCTTCAAGGAAATTCCTTGGACTGTTGCCCGAGAAAAAATGTCGACCCACGGAATTGCTTTTCCAACCGCATTGCACACGCAGTTGGGAAAGCAATTGTGGTCAACTGGGCCAACCCAGTCAGTAACATATAACCAAGAATCCCTCTTGAGAGTTGAGGAAAATGTGACATTGGAATGTAAGGTTTTCCAGGTCAGAAAACAGATGTATCATCCTTCCCACAAGGGAAAATGTCATTACTGTCATGACTATCATTGCTAACTATTTCACATCTCCAATGAGAGAGGATCGAAATTGGAACGTGTCTTATTTCAAAAGCTGGGTACTTTCAAAGTGAGAGGGGTGGGGAGTTGGCAGGAGCTCAATGATTCTACATATTTCCAACATGATGAGCTAAGGAGAGTTTTCTTACAAAACCAACACTCAGGTGCACTCAATCCCAAAAAAGTCCATTAAACGAATGTTTGATTTGGTCTCTGTAGAAGTGATCGATGCTCTTCAGCCTGTGCCACGTATACAACCTAGCTCATTCGTTCCTTCCCTTGGAATATATGCCATGACAATGGAACTCCTCTTCTCCCGTGGAGCCAAGCCGGTGGCCGTCATCGCTTTCTTCTTTACCTACTTACACAATGTGATCTCAATAGATTTTGTGGCCCATTATGTTGCACATCCTGGGAAGAGATACGAGAACATCACTTTTGAAACAAAAGAAGCAAGCGTCAGAATTTGCGGAGTAAGATGTGTTCTACAGACACCCCCTTGCTATGCCCTCAACTATCGTGAATCCGATGGTTCCTGCCAATTGGTTTTTAATGGGAAAAGTGGCCTTGTGGAAGCGAACGGCTTTACTTCCTATGTTCAGAGTGAGTCGATGACTCACTCTGAACAGAGCGACTCCCTGCATCGAGCGAGCACCGCAAAATAAACGACTTCGCGACTTCACGCTTTTCTTGGCCCCGTCTCGTTCGCCAGGGGATGACTGCGTTTCAGGTTTTTACCCGAATTTCAAACTTTTTTTTTCTTTTGTGATTCGGTGTCGGAATCGGCGATCGATAGCGATTTTGCTGCATGCTACCTCGGTCGTGCTTCACCGACGACGGAGGGAGGAAGGGAATTCAGTTGCCTTTTTGCAAACAAATTTTCGTGCATATGGCTCGCAGCCTGCGACAGTACCATCGTAATACTTTTCGACAGTACCGGAGTACTGTCTGACAGTTCTGTCCGGTCGATACGTATTGAAGGCTCCTCGAAAACGAAAACACTTCTGAATCCGAGTTTTTCCTCGAAGGAGAGAGGAAACTCGGTTCGTCTCGTCGCCTCGTTCAGTTCGGTTGGCCAAAGATCGGTCGAGTTACGCTACGAAATGATGCGTTTTCGGGGATTTCCTGCCTTCCCGAGATCGAAGCAATCGATATTCCGGGTCCTCCGGGTCTCCCGGAGGCATAATTTGAAACCTTACTCCTGTTCGAACACTGGGACCGGAACAGCCAATCAAACGCTCGCTAAATGTCATTATAGGAAAATGGCGACTTCCATGTTAATACAGGTTTCAGCTCTACCTGAAAAGCAGGGAGTTAATGTTTTTGAGTAGCTCTTGGTTGGACTTGGGTTTTCCCGCCGTACATCACCAGAGCAAGGCAGACCAATCTTATCGTGTTGCCAAGATGAGTTTACCGAGTAGGCCCAACGGTAGGTGTAGGTTTGCATGAATTTTGGTTAGTTTTCGTTACGATTAAAGCCTTAGCCGTTTAACAAATGCTTAAGTTCAAAGTTTAGATCACATCCTAGGAAAGTGTAAACGTCGTATCGGATAAATTATAGGATTTGAAAGGCTCCAAATAGTTCGCGGAATGATGGAAGGAAACTGTAGGGACAATGATGATAGAAAATTCATTGGGGAATAAAACTGGATGCATAAAATAAACCCCACCAATTGAATTTTATTAATTAACCAAGAATGATTAGAAATAGGCAGGAAAAAATGTCAATGCTGAACACTAAATATGTCTGAGGAAGAACATGCTTTTTGTGATCAAGAAACATGATGTGGAGCTTCAGTTTGCATATATATTTTAAAAGAGTGTGGGGAAGACACCCAATGCAAAGAATGCCTGGATGCATGCATAAGGTTATCCATTCATGTCCTGCACCATATGACTCACATAAGATACATTTTTAGCCACACAAGCCACAAGGGATCATTTCACAGTGTGGGGAAGACACCCAATGCAAAGAATGCCTGGATGCATGCATAAGGTTATCCATTCATGTCCTGCACCATATGACTCACATAAGATACATTTTTAGCCACACAAGCCACAAGGGATCATTTCTTCTTTTAACTTCCATCAACAATTTCATGAGTTGTTTTCCTTTTCCCAATCCTCCTTTGGACAAATGAGAGATATTCTTTGAATTTCACTCCCATATTTGCTCTGGTTACAGAAAATTTTAAAAAATTAGCAAGGCAATCCATTTCATACATGAGTTGTTTACTAAAAAGCAGCTAAATAGCTGGATTCACACTTTCAAAAGGCTTTACAATCAGCTTAAGTATCTGCCATCTAATTAAATTTCAGGATAGTTTGATTTGATTTAGAGTTAGGGTTAAGGGGAGACGTTGATGGCACTTGGATGTAATTGGAACCTTTAGGAGAAAATATGAAGGGCCTGGATGTGATAAAGTGCTAACCTTGGGACATTGGCAAGGAAGCATCTTCATGCTCATTCATGCAGCACTTATTGGACATTAAAAAAAGGAATACATTAAGGCAAGCAACTCTAAAATATAGTTTTGCCAGAACATGGGGATCAATGAATGCTGAAAGAACCAGACAGCTGGTGAGTGCCATTCAATGACATGAGAGCAACCCATTTCCCATGCATTCTGGTACATCCTCCTGAAAAAGTCTACTATGTACTTTTTGTCACTGGTAGATTAGGTGATTTAAAATACTTTCCCTCTGAAAATGTACTTCAATCCTTCAAGTTATGTAGGGTGAATGCATTTATCAATGTCCCATAATGCTATGTTACCAAATGTACATTATCACTGAAAACGTAGTCGCTACAAACCAGTACCAAGACTCACATTCCTCACTTGCATTACCTTCAACCTCTTGATACTTCATTAAAAAAATATGACTATTGGTCACTAAGCTGATTGAAACCTAGGCCTAACTTCACAGCTCTTCATATGCCATCGCGTAACCAATATTTCCTTATGTTGCGTAGGCCTAGTGTCATAGTGGTGGCAGTTAGGAGAAGGTTGGCCTGCGTTGAGCTGTCCAACTTAATTGAAAAAACCATAGACCCATATTCTTTTCGAACTCAGCTATATGTTCAGCGACCTGTTTATTCGTGAGTTGTGCCTGATTCGCTTTAACTTGCAGCGGCTACGGGGGTAGCCATGTTCCTACCATGACACCATGGTGGAGTTTGATTGGCTGTTCCGGTCCTAGTGTTCGAACAGGAGTAAGGTTTCAAATTATGCCTCCTGGAGTATAGAGAGAAGGAATCGCAAGGACACGTCCATCAGTTTCGCCTGAAGGAGCTCAGAGTTCCATCGAAATTCCCCCACCAGATGTCACCCTCGCCTGGGCTTTCCCTCCGCCTTCCATTTCGCCCCCTCGCGACGATGCGGCACATCGCTCGGCAGTCTCCCCGCCTCCACCCCCTCGTATAGTGACCCCTTCAGGATTCAGGGCCCGGAGAGTTTTCGTCCTCGAGGGACCGGGGTCACGCGGAGAACGACTTCGAGCCCCGAGTCCCCAGGGCAAATCCACAAGTGGACTCTCCTTACCGACCCCATTCGAGAACCACAAGGTCGAGCCCCGTACTTAATGCTGTTGTCATAAAAATAAATTGGTGGCGCGGTGACATCAGAAGCACGACGCGCCTACGAGCCACCCACCGATGATTTCTCCTTTGGCGAAGCGTCCCACTCGAAAGAAGCATCGAACTCCCGTTCCCCTCTGAGTTTTGCCATGCCATCGGGATCCACTATGATACTTATCGCCGAAGGCCAGTTTCTACCTGTCCACGCCAATTCAGGAACCCAAAGCCTGAAAAATAGGGGATCAATTGCAATGGAAAGAGATTATTTATTCTTCATCCCAATCGACTCGGATTTTCGTGGAATCGTCTAAAGAGAATTTTCGTTCGATCTTCGACTTACTAGGATGAAATTTGATGCAATTTCAGGACATCAAGAGCATCACTTAACGACGCGCCTTCCATTCGATTTGGTCTAATGGAGTCTTGGAATGATAATATCCCGCATCTTCCCCCCCCCCCCCCTGATTCAAATAACCTTATATTTCATTTATTTATTATTACGCTTATATTTATCTATTTATGGGGTCACGCAGAGAACGACTTCCAGTCCCGAGTCCCCGAGACGAATCCACAAATGAACTCATACTGGTTCTTTTCCACTTTTACTTCTTCATATCCAACCTCCACAGCGATAGCGATAAAATTGGTGGCGCGATGCCTGCAGAAGCACGACGTGTCCACGAGAGATCTTGCAATCCCTCGGTGGTTCGCTTTTTGGCGTGGCGTCACACTCGATGAAAGCCATTTAACCTCTTCTGAGGTCTGTCGTGCCACCGTGGATTCTGATTCGTCTCATCATCGAAGGCCAGTTTCCACCGGTCCACGACAATTCAGGAACCTTAAGTCCGAGATAGAGGGTATTGCACTTTTAGGGCATCAAGATCGTCACTTAACGCGCCTTTCATTTAACGAGGTCAAATGGAGTCTTGGAATGACATGTTTCCCGCCTCCCCACCCCCCTCCTTCCAAAAAAAATGTTTGTATTCTCATTTTCTATTCTTACGCTCATATTCATCTATTCGCTTTAATTTACAGTTACACATTTACACAATAAGGCAAACGAGGGAACATTAATCTTCTTTTACAATTAGAACGATCTTTTGAGCACCAGAAGAAAGAATAAAATAATAAAGAATTTCACACGACGATGTAAGAAGGAAAATAATGTACTTGTGAATGGCTTAACTTTCTGTAGCATGAACAATATATTCAAATGATGTATTTGAACAATTAGAGTTGAATCGTTTCATTAATTCCGTTACTGAGCATATTTCCACATACTTGTTCGGCTGAATGAAAGCTGATTTAAGACAAGTAATAAGATCGGCCAGCCAGAGGCAAGTCACCTGGGAGTCCCTCCAGCCCTGCCCGACCCAAGGGAGATGCCCCCCCCCCCCCCCATCTGGATTGGGTGTCCAGGGATGTGAATTCGTCTAGATTCCCAGCCTTGATGTAGTCACGCCTGGACCGCTGCGTTCGTAAAGTTGACATCAATGTTCCGGAACTCCCCCTGATATGAAGAGCATTTGAGAGCGTCGCCTCGCTTGGGACGATCCGCGCCCACGATTAATAACAAAAATATTGAGCTAGTTGAGTGATTAAAAGAATTCAATAAAAACTCATTTGATTTCAAAGTCCTCCAAAATAAACACACATTAAGTAAATATATATACTTTTTTTAGTATCGCGCAATGTCCCGCATTCGTCGAAATGTACCGGTTCATTGACCTGTTCAGCAGATTCTGGCAGAAGATGAGATTGGTCGAATCCAACAACGATCCGGACGGCATAACTGAAATTGCAAGGGATGTTTAACAGAATCACTTGAGGAAGCTTTCGGAGGTGGACGGTGGTCATCCCATCGATGTTACTGGAAAGTTAGCGCAGAGTGTTCCGTATGACACTGCGCTTACCAAGTTTACGTATTACGCAAGGGGAATACAGACGAATGCGTCAAGAGGGTTTCGTATCGTGTGCCGTGGTGACCGGTCCTTGACTCGCCTTACGGACTCCAGACGAAATGCGGTCCTCGAGACGTCACCAGTTCCCCGATTGCAACGCAATTCCTGGCGCTCAATCGAGAGGAAG